TGCGAAACCCAAATTTGCTATAATTTTTGTTTATTGAGAATCATGCATGCCATAAAAAATAATTGCTCCATGTGTATGTGTCGAAATTAGGTGATGATACTTGGCATATGTTTATATTTTCAATCTGTTTAAATAAAAATATATAAAACTAAAACCCATGAAAATTAACAAAGGAAAAGGGTCCTACAAAACCAAATAAATGGTTCATGGGATATGATATACAAATTATTTGGGAGCAAAAAGAAGTAAGACCCACAAGGGTTTGTCACAAGAAAATGTATTAACATCTTGAATATCCTTCTCTTGAGAGTTGAAGTTTGGATGAATATATTTTAATTAAACTGATGATCCATCTAATGGTGGATAATTTGAGAGTTGTTTGCTGACTTTCGATCTATACAAAAAAAAAAAAAAAAAAAAAAAAAAAACACAACTTGAGGCTGAATTACGCAAGAGGTCAATTACCCATGCAAATGCAACGTGTTCAACGCTTAGCTTGTACTGTCTTCTTCAGCGATTCTCTTTGTTCAGGATTTGAGGAACCGCCAGACCTCATTACTGGTTTTCTTCTTAAAGAGTGTATTGAATAGTTTAGCTATTGTTTTAATCTTTTGTTGCATTGCTTCCGTGTATTGACTTGTTCTTCAAAGCAATGAAATTCTCTACCGTTTCAATTAAAAAAAAAAAAAATAGATGGAGAATATAATAGACAAATGCTAAAAGGTCAAACAAAGAAAAATTATTAAGAAATAACATAGTTATTACTCTTCTATGATCTTAACACGTCTACTAAATATAATGCTAAAGAATTTTCACGATTCTGTTTAGTCATGTAGCCTCCTAGGTCTTAACTAATTAAGTCAAACTTTGTTAATAATGTTACACTAATAAGAGTCTAAATTGCAAAAGACTGTAGTCCACGTCTCGCACATATCATTGACCTTAGGCTGCTAACAAAAGATAGGACATTGCGATGGAATTATTAGATTCTTTACTCTTTGAATTATTATTTGTGTATTATATTAAACATAAACAATTTGATTAGGTGGTTATGGTTGCATAATAACACAACAAACTTGATAGCTACCCCAATATGTTATAATAATATTCCATGGCATCTGCATTCTGCAGCAGTCCCACACAACCGCGTACCAGCAACAACTGCTAACAAAATTATTTTCTAGCTATGAGATTTACGCCAAAATCTAAAGAGATAATTAACTAAATCCAAAAGATTTGATTCTAAACAAATAAGTTCAAATATTTGTACATTAATCTCACCTCCAACCGCGGTTACAACAGTGGCGATGCCCACCTACGCGTAGTTGGTGGTTGGTGGAACAAGTTGGACGCACTCTAAAGTCACTCCATGGATACTCTTCAATCCTTCCTGAGTCCTCCACCAAGATAACAAATGGGAATTTTTGTAGTTTTGTTTTGAATTATAGCATTAAAAACTCGTTCATGCTGAAAATCGAGGCTACATTGAAGTACATTTAATCATGGAAATTGATTCTCTTAGAAAATTAAATATGTTTTAGAAAAATTTGTATGTCTTTGATAGAAATTTAACTGAATTGCAATTCATCAGTTTGAGTCTTTGAAACTCTCTTTAAAGTGAGCTTATCAAAATGCTCATTTTCGACTAATCACTTTTGAATTAGACATCTAATTGATCTCATTCCAGATTTGTAGATATTTGATTACTATTTTTAAAGTGAGACCACATATGGTTTGATTTTTATGAGTAAGGAAGCATGCATGGGAAGTAAAAAATTGTAATACAATATATATGGTTATGCACATTAAACTGTGTGATAACTGGGCCTTGGAGACTGGGTCATTGATTTGAAGTGGGCTGGCTTTACATGACAAAAGGGTTTCAGACTGGCACAAACAATAGTTTGCTAATAAGGTTTATGTTTTTCTCAGACTCAGTGTGGTTCACTGTGGTTAGAGAATAACGTGCAACTGATTAAGTCTATTCCAACTTGCATTAGTAAGGTGCATTGTTAAACAAGAAATCAAGTTTTATATGGTAAAACAGAAGGCTAATCATAAGGTTTATAGACATTATTTTATATAAACATAACAAAAAAAGAATTAATTTTTATATGGTAAAACAAAAGACTAATTATATGGTTTAGTGTTTTTTTTTTTAATTTTTAAAAATGGTTCTTGACTTCAAAGAACTTCCAACCCATGGCCAATGGAATTGTCAAAATCCACTTACCAATGCACTATGTTATTGTAAAACTAGCAAACAATACATATATATATTAGTAAAATTTCAGGATAAGTCTGGTCCTAATCTGGCCTCCATGTGGCTCCGCCACTGGGTAATAGTACTTCAAAGAATACTTCCGGAATTGGGTTCTTGGAGATAATTGTAGATGGCATCTTCCCCTTCTGAATGTTATGATTTACATTATGTATACATGGCTGATTTCAAAAGAGAAGGTTGTTCAAATTTGCGTTGTTGCTTTAGAAAGCCCTGTTGGAATATGATTATGATAACATAGTTTTCACAATATGTGTAATTATATGTGAAGGTATACCATAACATTGGTGTACTAATATACATATGATTGTAGTTGCATATGGGCTTGATAGAAATTGGGTATTCACATGATCGGAAACGGATGTGGTTAGACTATCGATCACAATATGGTGTAAATGATATGAACAGTTGTATTTCAACTATAACTTCTCCTGAATAACACAACTTCTCCAAAAAGGTTACTTTCATCTCTATATATTTGTCAAATCCCTTTCTGTCAAATTCAATTCAATTTCCATACTCACTCTCTGTTCATATCTTTCGCACCATATTGTGATCGATAGTCTAACGACATCCGTTTCCGATCCTATGAATACCCAATTTCTATCAAGCCCGTATGCAACCGCAAGACATTCCCCCTTAAAGTGCTGTTTCTACACTGTGTTTTACCATTCATCAACTTATGCAGATTATGACATAGTTATAACTCCTTTGCAGGTTAAGAGTGTTGCACCATTTAGCCAGTCATTTACATGGATCCCGAAAGCCCGCCTCCCGAGAAGGACTACGATGTTTAGTTTAAAACTTTGGAAGATGGAATTACAGGAAAGGAAATCTTGGAACAAGAACTGTACCGGTGTATTGCTGCATGCGTTCTGTTATCAACCTTAACTCTGTAAGTGAAAAAAATGGAGCTTGATATGCTAACAATTTTGATCTGTAGATATTAAAATAAATTACATCCAGCTATTAAATTCCGTCATATATATTATACATAGATGCACGCTAGAATTTTCGTTTTCGATATAGCATTTCCTTGGGACTGCTGCGGCTCCCATTTAATTTGAGGCCACCACTTGTCTCTCTAATTGCATGTGTATGTAAATACTCATAGCAGCAGATGAAGGGCAGACGACTCTTTAGGAACATCAAAGCAATCAAAGATTATAGGGTTCTGTGGGAAAAATTTACTTCAAAATTTGCTGTAACTGTGGAATTATAGCCTTTGATCACGAGGTCCAAATCTCCTTATATATCAGGAGGTTTGAACCTTTTTTTCAACATCAGTTTACTTTCTACACATGAGTAGCTTATACAATGTTTTCTAATGATATTCAATGAGATTATAAGTATTTAGAAAAATGGATTCTTTTTTAATTCTCTCGTAAAACCCTAATGTCTCGACTCTCTAGACCATCCTAAATTGAGGAGAACGAGGAGAGGTGAAAATATTCAGTAATTCAGTTAGCTGGTCAAGTCACTCTCACAAAGGGTGGGTCCTTGTATATCGGAAGTAATGCTTATGCATAGTGGGGGCTTATTTCGTTGTGAGTGTACCTCAACATCCAGTTAATTAGGCTGCCATATCTAAATTTTTTTCCAAAGTGAGACCTCGTGTACAATAACTTACCTATAATTGGAAATCTTGAATGCATTGTGACAGTATCTCAACCAATCAAACATTGCTACATGAGAAAGTTAAAACACATTGCAATATTTAATTAGTTTGTAATATTATCACAACCGTGTCCTAATTTATGGGTAAGCTATTCACCTCAGGTATGAACGGGGGTGGCCGCATAGTTTGAAAAGCAATCTTTCTCTGTACAATGTAAGATTTGATGAAGGCTCTTCAGTCTTCCCTTTTAAGTTTCCTGACCTTGTCATGTTAAAAGTAGACATCTCTTTGTACAACTGGAAAAGTTCAAAGCTTATATAAAACAGAGCTTCTGCAGCAAATTTAGATGTCTGTGACTGTCAAGCATTGCTGCCACATGGAAAATAAAGCCTTGGGCGCTGCATCACCACATGATATACATGCTGACATGATCTGGAGGAAGTTATTCCCTTTGCTATTGAATGCAAAAACTGCAATTTGAGGACCCTACAAGTTTGTCTGAATGAGCTGTGATTTTGGGATATGTTTCATGACCTCACTAATCACAGCAATTCACTCAATTGACTGATTTGTTGGTACATAAGGATTCCTTTAAATAGGGACATTACAATACATTGATAGGATAAATATTTAATGCTAAAGATTATGGCCATTTAACACTACGGTTTAGTGGTATTCCTCTTCACTTGTAAGTGAAAGATCTTAGATTCGATTCTTGTCAAAAGCAAATTTGAACCACATTGTTGCTAGCCCATTGTGAGGCTAAACCCACCATCTTCCGTTAATATAGATAATATCGTTTGCTAAAAAAAAATTTACAAAAGATTATAGTTTCTAAACATCTAATTAGAAGGGACAAGGATTCTCTCCTTTTTTTTCCCTCCCCCTTCCTTCCTTCTGTTTGAAGGCTCATGATTTCATCTTGTATGGAGAGAGAAGAAAAAAATTACTGTGAAAGGAGGAGAGGGAGGAAAGGAAAAAAAGGAGGGGAGATAATCCCCATCCAACCTTTCACTCTTCCAAGTCCGAATACAAATAAATGAGCAATAGTTTTCCATTCCTAGGTACATTAACATTTTCATGACATCTATGCATATGAAATCACTGGCTAATTGAGTACTGCAATTGAACAACTAAGCATATATATGCAAATTACAGAACTTCCCAATTTTATAAACGAAATTAAAGACCAAAAAGAAAGTAAAATGAAACGCAAAGAATAAAAAGGGTCGATGCCAAATTATTTATTTTCTCTAAATACTTTTTTCCTTTTTTCGGCTGTAAAAATAGGAACATTTACATGATAAAATAAAAGAGAAGTAAAAATGAGGTTCTCTAGCTATTTCTTTTTTCTTGTTTGATTTGAATTGGTTTCTTGACCTGCAATCCTCATAAATGGAGTTCTGATGGCTTCACAATATCCTTCAATAACACCAGCATCCCTACAAAAAATCAGACAAATAAATACATATAAAACCAAGTGTGAAACAATATAAGCGCAATAAAAAAGCACAGAGGTAAGCCAATCACACAAACGAAACAAGAAGCTTAAGCAACTCACCCCAAAACAAGCTTTATCGTGTCTTGCAGGAGGAGCTTCCGTTAGGGTTGAAAGTCTGGCAAGCATTTCTTGTTCAGTGAATATTTTACCTTGAGAGCTCACGAACACGGTCCGCCGGACTGGAGGAGACCACAGTCCACTCTGCTCGTAATCAAAGTCGAACTCCGCGGCATCAAAGAACTTCTGAAGAAGTCGATCGGAAGTGGATTTTGGGACCAACTGCACAGTTGGAGAAGTGGGAGGAGGACAAGTGTCAGGCAACCCAGGTGAAGAATAAGAAGAAGAAGAAGGAGAAGAGAGCTCAGACTCTGTCCCAGAAGGCATTTGGACGAAATGGAATCCAGAATAATGGAGCTGAAAAGATAAGGGAAAGCAAAACTTGACAAAACTAATGTATGTGTATAAGGGGGAGGTCAGAGGTGTGATAAGGACGTGTATGGCTGTATGCAATCATAGGGGGACGTCGTGGCTGCTATATATAATACATGATTTTTATGTGATTCAATATCTGGCAGCGCACTCTTTGTTTTTCAAGCTAAAGAGTCTGGAACTTTGAAAAGGTTTACTTTGGAGAGATGCTAGACTAGAGGAGTCACATATTAAACGAGGTCTATAAAAATTGGTTCTATAGAGGTGCTTATACATGTAGGGTTCGTTTGGAAATAATTATGTAGGAAGCTATTGTAGAACGTATGACGGGGGTAGAGTGGATCGAACAATAGCTTGACAGATGTCAAAATCAAAGTATTCATGATTTACAGATTCGTTTTGGAGTTTCGATGTGAACCCATATATAATATACTATTTAGAGAGAACTGTGTGATTACGAGTCAAATAATTTTGAGCTTTCTCATATTTTTTCGTTGATTGTCACGCTGCGTAAGAAACGCTGCTACTCATAAACTCTTTTAAGTCAAATAGTGTTAAAAGTGTTTTTTACTATAAAAAACATTCTTAGGTATTGTAGAGCATATTCAAACCTGCCTATTAATACCACATCAATCAACCTAAATTTGAATCCGTGCAAATGGACATGGTGGCACACATAAATCATTTGTGGGTCTACTTCATGGAACGCCCAATTAATTTCTCAACGCTTGTATAATTCATGGTTGGTGTGAAAGGTTTGTCTTGTTGGTGAGAAAAGATCCTAAATTGTATTGTTGGTGCAATATTAACCACATTGTCTTGACTTTTAGGGTTTTGAAAGACAGAAGAATGTAATTTGGTCATATATAGATTACGATACTGGTTAGTATATTTTTACCGTGCATTAGTTACACCGATGTGCTTTTACTATGCATCTGATTTCAAATTTCTCTCTCATATTTAGATCGAGCTCAGATCACAACGTTATAAAATAGATTAATTTCATTTATTGGATCATAACGTTTACCAATTAGAATTTTAACCAACAACAAAGAAAAACGTTTAGAAAATTATAAAAAATAAAAATAAAAAATAAAAAATAAAAAACTCTTGTCCAGTAGGGTTTCCATTTTAAATAAAATAAATACATTCATAATATCTCACTCCACTCCAATCTGCTACATTCCATCCTGCATTCTTGCTGCACCAGATTATTATCTTTCATTAAGATTTAATGACCCCACCTTTTCATAACCTTATTCCTAATCATTTTTGAAAGCCCAATTAGCCCCAAAGATCAAAAGAAATTAGAAGACTCAAAACTAAATTTAATTATCATTAAAAACGAATTTGAACTATATTATTATTACTATCGTTTATTAAAAAAAAAACAAAGCATTTCAAAATATCAAAAACAGCCTCACGCTAGACTTCTCAACTGTAAACCGCATTAATCGAGCAAGGACGTAAACGTCATTTCAAGTTCCACATTCCTTTGAAGACAGCAGTCTTGCACCGGTCTGACACGCCTCTGAAAAGCCGAAAGATCGAAGGGAAAGGAAGCAAAATCCACCGAAACAAACATAAAAAACAAAGATCTCAGAGAGCGAAAGCAAATCAGCGGGAGAGATCCGAAGGACAAGATCGCCACCTTCTTCTTAGAAGCGAAAGAAACTTCAAACTTTTTTCTTTGGGGTCACAGTAGTAATGGCTGGGTACAGAGCTGAGGACGACTACGACTACCTTTTCAAGGTGGTGCTGATCGGCGACTCCGGCGTTGGCAAGTCCAACTTGCTGTCGAGGTTCACCAGGAACGAGTTCAGCCTCGAGTCTAAGTCCACCATCGGCGTCGAGTTCGCCACCCGCAGCTTGGATGTCGACGGCAAAGTCATCAAGGCTCAGATTTGGGACACTGCCGGCCAAGAAAGGTTGGTAGGCTTTCTTGCTTCTCTTTTCTGTGATCTGGGTTTTTCTTATTTTCTGGAGTTTCTGTGTGGGATTGAAGCTTTTGGTTGATGATTATAAGATATGAAATGGGTCTGGGTTTCTTGGGGTTTTGGTGATGAAAAATTTACGCTTTTGTGCAATTTGGTTGGTGCCTGGATTTGGTGGTTTAATTGGGTTTGTTATAGTAGATCTGAAAATGCTTGAGTCTAGTCAAAGAATATATGCTCAGAATTTTCTGGGTTTCTTTTTGTTTTCGTAGCAATCCAAGTTATAACAGATCAATCATTGACTCATTGTGCAAATGAAATTTCTGCATTAACATTGTATTGTTGTTGTGCATATTCTGCCTTTCTTCTGCAATTTATTTAACTTTTATATATGACTTATTAGATAGAAATGAAATGAAATGTGCAGGCTGTGTTTATAGGTCTCTGTAATTTATGCTTTCCGGTTGGTGTGAAAAGGGTAATTGGAAATTCGTGGTTGCTTGTTGCTATGTGTAACGTCAATAATCCATCAGATAGAATGCTTAATTAGTTGATTGGCATTACTATTTGAAAAAAAGGTACTTAATCTCAGTGGGTTGCTGCTGATTGTACAGTGATGAAATTCTATTTGTTAGATATCATTACTTAGTGAAGCTTTGTTAATGGCCTGTTTCGGCTTGAAAATACGTGGTACTAGTCAAACCAACCTTATCAGTTTCAAAGTCAATACTTTCTGGAGATTCCAGGTACTGTGTTGGTAGATATTGGTGGAGATCGTTCATTAAATCCGCTTTCAAGTTTTCATCTGGGCCTTAAATTCAATATGGTGTCTCCCCCCTGAGTATTCTTACAGCTTATGGATGAGGCTACTGTCTTTTGTTAGAATAAGGGAAAATTGTTTAACCTTAGTAGGACATGATTGTTTTATCTGCGCTACTGTAGAATTATCAAGGAAATTGTATTTCTTATTGCTGATCCATGTACATACTGAGATTGAGAAATTGAACTGCTTTTTTCAAAGTGCGGAGTTTGAACTTTGACATGGTTTCAATAGAAATTGGTGAGTTAAATGTGACATTTAGGTAATGTAATTAAGTTCAGTTTTAATATTATGCTTTCTTGAATGATTTACCTATGATTGAGCATGAAATGCATGTGATTTACCTATGATTCAAAATGTGTCTTTATATTCTAATGACTTTCTATGAGCAAGATAGCAACTTTTTGCATTTGGAGAAGTAAAGCCTTTCTAATTTATTACCATTCAAACAAGTACTACCTTCGGAAATCCAAATTCACTATTGTCATCTGTGTTTCAACTTGATTCACATGCCTTTTCACTTTGAACAGGGTATTCTGCATAACTGTTTATTGTGCCACTGGCATGCTTTCTCTTCTATTAACAGTTCAGATTCAAATTTGTGCATATTTAATAATGGATAATAGTTTGAGCACCAAAGAAACAGCTGATGAGGATTATCTACTTCCCTTTATTGTTTTGGCGAAGTTGTATGAGTTGGGAGACATGTCGATTAGCCTGGAATTCAAATCCCATTTTGTTTTCTAGAATGAGAGGGGTGCGGTGTCTACCAAAACAAATCTTCTAAAGTATATGTTGAGTGCTTCATGTTATGTCAACATAGTTGTCCCTGGACTAACCCTTCTCTTGTAAAAAACAGTAAAAACGAAGCCATCCTCTTAGCAACACTGAGATTTTTGATTAACACCAAATAAAAGATTGATTGAACTATTTTCTTTGAATCCCATGTTAGATGTCGACACAGGAGTAAGGGTAGACTAAATAGTCCATCCTACCCTCCATATCCAACTACAATTAAACTTTTTAAACCATGGAGGATGTGTGATAACAACTCTCCTCACTATGTTATTCGACATGCACAAATTTTCTTCTCAAACATATTGCAAAGCCACCATATGACTTCAGGTCCATATCTGACACTAAGATACCCCAAGCCACCCACCTCAACCCACCCTGTCAATAACAACATTTGTTGTCTGTGTACTGAGACTGAAGGTACCTTTGTGTATAGAAAAATGGTGAATTTTTGGCTCTATAATGATGGGTTATGTATGGTTATATCATAATCTTATCAAATACTCGATGTATAATTTGAGAGCATTTCTTTTTTGTGATGATATTGACACTTGATCTGGACGACCTACATGTACTGTAATGTGGAACTTCAACATGCTCTCTTGATAGTTTATTTATAATTTGTTTCTTTCTAGTAATGCTGTACATGGGATTTTGAATATGCTATTGGTAGTTTGATGTCCTAATTGTGTTGGGGTTTCATATTGTTATTGTTATAATCACTACTAATTGTGTTAGTATTATATTGTTATTGTTGTAATAATTATTTAGTATTGTTAAATTGCTATAGTTTGGGACTTGATGTTAAAAGTTCTACTTTTTAGATTCCTTTCACAATCAGGCATGTGTTTACCTTTTGTATTTGTAGGTACCGGGCAATAACAAGTGCTTACTATCGAGGGGCTGTGGGTGCACTGCTTGTGTATGATGTCACTCGGAATTCAACTTTTGAAAGTGTGGAAAGGTGGTTAAAGGAGTTAAGAGACCACACTGATCCCAACATTGTCGTCATGCTTGTTGGTAACAAATCAGATCTTCGTCATCTTGTGGCAGTCTCAACTGAGGACGGAAAATCCTTTGCCGAGAGGGAGTCTCTCTACTTCATGGAAACTTCTGCACTCGAAGCGACCAACGTGGATAACGCATTTTCTGAAGTCCTCACTCAGATCTTTCGAGTCGTGAGCAGGAAAGCCATGGAGTCTGGCAATGAAGGAGCTGCTTCAGCTGTTCCTCAAGGGGAGAAAATCGATGTTGGTAAAGATGTTTCAGCTGTGAAGAAAGGTGGGTGTTGCTCAACCTAGAGTCCGAATCTGCACCGGATGTAGCTGGTTTGTGTTTGCCACATCTGTTTTTCCCTATACCGGGGTTGTGTAAAAAAAAATCTTGGAAATTCTGCCGGCTTTAGGAGATAGGAAGGCGGGGTTCGGTGTTTACTTCCATTGTCATTATCATTAATTACCCTAAGGCAGATATGTTTAGCTGATCAAGAGGAGCTTGTTTAGTAACAAGATATTACATGTTCTTACTTTTCATAGGTGTTGAATGGGGGGTTTACTTTCACCCGAATTTTTTCGGTATTCCGAGGTTATTCTTGAGACTAATTAATTGAAATTGTTTATTCAACTTCTCTCTCTAATCTGTCCTATATTCGCTTATGTTTCATGGCGGCTGTGCACAGTGATGAATGTACATTGGGACCAAGGTGGTCCAGAAGAGTTCAAAAATACACATGCTAAGGTCTTCTGAGGACCATTCAAAGTTTGGTATGAGTTTTTCTTGTGCCCACCAAGTGTTTTTGTAATATATGCTAGACATATTTCGCCAGCATTCAGAAGGTTCCGCTGAGAGTAAATTATCTCGATAGCACTTAATAGATTGCTTTGACATTTGCAGACATCTAATGAAATATATGCAACATAGTTCGGGTGACGACAACAAACCCACGGTGTTAGACAAAATGCCTTAGTGAGAAAACAAATTTTATTTTTTTTGTGCGCTTCACGCTCTGTTTCTACTAAAAAATTAGATCTTTAAACACTGAAACCAATTTTCGAATCTAAATTCCCCACTGACTGGCTGTAGTTCCCTCTCGAGACAGGCTGTAGTGCAGGTCGATTCCTAGAAAACAAAACAGTTGGTGAAGGTGGTGCATCATGCATGCAAACAATAAGGCATGTCGTTTTGGAATATCCTTCTTGCCAAATTTAAAAAGTTTAGTTTGGACGTCCTTTTTCAACGATCTGATCTGTCCGTAATCATTGGGGAAAGGATATCATTGCCAATATGAATTAAACAATTTCAAACACTTTCCTTGTCCACAGGCAACGCCGGAGTTCCAGTAACCTAGGCTGCTATCCACAAATTAGCCTACGACAACAGCACAAATTGCACAACATGTTCTATTATTCATTGAGGAAAGCTAAGGAAACTGCAAGCCGTTAGATCCGTGTGGACCCCGCAGTGAAAGCGCGAGAAGATGATACAATACCGAGTGTCTTAAGCCAATCACGCATTATTACGTGAGATAGTTAAAACACATGTAATGAGTGATTTGAAATCTTCGATATAGATAAGTTTTTCTGACTTGCATGTGCAGTTGTCTCTTAAGCAACTCGTATCTACTGTGGTACTGCTATATTTGATCACACATGCAAATCAAAATGAATGTGATTCATACAGAGTTATCCTTCTAGACTTTAGGCAGCAAGCAATGACCGATTCAGAATTTCGGGTTCGGAGAGGCATCTCAAAAATGTAAAAAAACAATGCAACAATGCTGCAAACACGCTCACGAATCTATCTCTAAGCCATCATCTCATCTATCGTTTGGTCATCATCTCAGCTAGTACTTAATTTGCTACTTTAGATTTTTGGTCCGATTTTGATGTTTGTTTGCTTGGTGACGATGATGTTGAATTTTACGAATATGGGAATAGTCAAAACCTTCTTTGTCATCACATATTCACAATTATTGGAAATCAGAGGGATAACTCTAGTTTTTTCTATGTGAAAAAATGTCAAGTAAGCCCGGGACCATTATGGTCCCTTCATGGCTCTGCCCCTGACAACAGGAAAGTTATGGTCACTTATCGTTCAATCTTAATTCAACGGTAAGTGGTCATTTAATTTTCTTGCGTACTTTCTCCTTACTAATGGATTAAAAGAAAACGGTGGTGGCCATGATTTTCTTAAACCCTTGTAAGTCTAAGAAAATGAAACTCGTGATTCATATGTGATCGACACAGTTTATCATCATAATATTTTAGACCGTACCATAAAAAATATTTCTAACTTTACCGCTGCTACAAGTGTGACATATTTAAACTTCGATTCCAGCAATACCAGCGGAAGGTATTAAGCATGTTATATACAGAGACAAAACATGCAGGCTTTGCAGGTTATTAGGGTTTTAATAAAATGGTGAATCTTCGTGGCTACGCTGTCATTTGCCTTAATTTGTGCATCTCTCTCTCTCTCTCTCTCTCTCTCTCCCTCTCCCTCTCTGTGCAATGCCTTAACGGATAAGGAAGACGTAGATCCGGTCCAACTTATCCCAAGGATGGTTTCATTTCATGACATGGGCAATGACTCTGCAATAATTTATATGACGTACTAAGCCATGGCTTGGTACTGAAGTGATTCTGAAAAAAGCTGGTATAAAAAAAAGCTAACAGCTTTTTTGTGTTTGGTAAACATTCAGCTTCAGCTTTTTTTCACAGTTTTGGGTGAAAAAAAGCCAAAAACAGGAAGCTGCAATACCCAGCTTTGAAAAACCGGCTTTTTTTCACATCTGTTTTGCATAAAAGTTTACTACACACTATAATACTGCTTTTTTTTTTCTTTTCAAAAGCACATTTACAAAAAATTTACCAAACACTCTGCTGCTTATTCTTACAGCACAACAGAAGCAGTTTTTTTTCAAAGTACAACAATACCAAACCAGCCGCTGTGCTGGTGTTGTAAATCAAATAGCAAAAACAAAAGCCAATTGCAAAGATGAGTGTTTTTTTAAACAATCATATTAATTTTTTAAATTCGACGAGACTAAGTAGGGTTTAAAATAATTAGGGTTATTCGTCCCAAAAAAAAATGGATAGGGTTTGAACTATACTGGTCCCCTTCTTTAGTCTTCATTAACAACTATTTTATATATATATATATATATATTAACACTCTGCATTTAGGGTTTATAATAAACTGAGGTAAGCTGGTGAAGTTTAAATTATCTGGATTTAGAGTGTGACATGCAAGATATTTTAGTTGTGTTTCTTTTTCATAGGCTTAGGCTACCAAGTGATTGGTAACGAAGTCAAGATCCAGCTATACCATCATCAACTAAAAGTCAATGGTTTTGGGTTTCTTTAACTTTGGAAATGATGTGCCGAGAAAGACATTTTCATTCGACGTCTAATCGAAAGATGAGAATCTTAGTTTCTGAGTTCCTCACTTCTATGATTCGAGTTGTGTTCTTCCCAGCCCAACTCGTTGGTCGCCCATCTAACAGATGCTAAGATTGGTTTGATCGAATTATTTTATGTTTTTAAATTAATCATATATATTGGAGGAAATCAATATTTAGCCAATTATTACGGCTACGTGTTATCTCTTTCATCCCACTAATTATTTAACAAGAAAGATAAACACATTACTGTATAATATATAGATGATGATTCTAAGACAAAAAATTATCCTAGTATCATGTCAATATATTACTATATATCATTCAAAAAATGAAAGAAATGTTTAAGAAAATGCAGTGTGATTGCTTCCGGGAAACAAAAGGTGAGAAAATATAATGTGCAAGATAAGATCGATGGAAATCAAAGAGCATAAAGAGGAAGCAAATGGCCATGTGATAATCAATGGTTGCTGGATTATTTTATTTGTCATAGTTTAGTTTAAAAAGAATAGAGCTGCCAACTATCCTAGTAGTTCTCTAATAATATAATTAACCTAGCCAACTCCAAGGGCTGGCTAACAGTCCGACTTTTGAATTGAGCCAAGTTTGATTTGGTTCAAGCTACATAGAAAGAATAAAGGGTTAATTACAAAAAAACTACCCAACTTTTTGAGGTGATTCCAAATTAATTAATCTTGATCTTTTAAAACACTACAAATAACTATATAGCATTTTAAAAATTAGACATTGGTAGGTTAAGGGGGACTTTACCAACATTAATGATGATGCTACTAGAACTAAACGATGAAGTGGACAAATACTAAAGCTAGTGTTCACCAATCAACGTTTTCAAAGTTCTAATCCTCCAAATTGAACCATATTAGTCAAGTTAAACCATAAATTACATGTCAATTTGGAGATTCAAATCTCCATAGATGACTTGAGAGTTAAAACCCGCTTAATATTTGTTCACGTCATCACTAAACGCTAGTGAACCCAACAAATGTCCATTTTTCAAAACTTTAGGTGGTTAATTGGAATGTTTTAAAATGTTAGAACCAATTTGGAATCACCCTTAAAGATTGGGTAAATATTTAGATGACTTAACTCAAGAATAAGTAAAGAAATTATATTCAAGTGGAAGGTAGAAGATAGATTACTCGTGAAAAAACTAGTTAGCTTCAATCCCCACACAATGACATTAACACCTTATTAATTTCTTCAGTTCTACTAATTGAATCCTTGACACCAAACGAGACTCTCGTGAAAAATTATGAAGATATAATTTATTTTTTGTTCCTAATCACTTTGTCTAAGTTTTCTATATTTTAAGAAATTATGTCACAAACGTGTGATTTATAAATACTAGCCTTCATGCACGCGCTCACGCGTGTACATAAGACATTTTTTTAATCATGGCGTTCTACACGCGACTTGTAGGTTTTAAATATATTTATATGCGTAAATTGACAAATGGAAAGTCAAATATTTGAAGTAAATGAATAATCTTAGATCATGCTAGAAGAAACCTGTTATAAACCAATTAAAGCAGCTGAATCCACATAATAAAATAGGTCTCTATTGAATTTATATTAAGAATAGAGAAAATACTATTTAATAAACAACTGGTTGAATCGCATTATTGATAACTCATTGTGAGGCTAAGTTCATCCCTCTTTGTGTAGATAATATTGTTTGTTAAAAAAAAAAAGCAATCATTTGACAATTAATTTAATCACATTATTATCCACGTGCGAAAGACTTTTTTATAATCGGCATTACACGCCTCTTTTTCAGATGTTTTGAACGTGTTTAAAAATAGAGAAAATAATATTTAATGAAAAACTGATTGAATCACATTATTGCTAGCCTATTGTGAGGTACTAATTATTTTAAAAAGAAATTGTACAAAAGAAATTAATTATTAAAAAACACTTTTAAAATGATGAAAATACCCCTCCACATTTGATTCATTATTTTGGATTGCTTTTGATGTTTTTTGTTTGAGGAGTATTTTTGTCCAATTATTTTTGGTGAAGTTTATACACCAAAAAAATACTATTCATTGGGCCATCAACTTTATATGTAAAGATAAAATTAGCAATAATTGACTTGTGAGCCCCACTTATGAATATTCTATTCTATGCAAAAGTTGGAAACGGACGGCCAAAATATGCTAATTACACCAACATCATGACAGATCCAGATTAAAAATTGTGTTTATTCAT